AATGTCTATAGGAGTGATGCCATGGTTTCGATAGATTACAATACTCGTAATATTATGAGTATTACCTCCATATCCTTCACTTCCGAAATCGGCGACAACTCTTTCCTCTCTTCGCTCATCATAGAACAACCTTTGCTCATTTTTCCATTTGATGCAGGCGTTCATTTTCAAAGTCTTACACAAAGACACGCACTAGGTAAACATAGCTGTTCGGGCAAACTCTCGTCCAGCTCTCCGCTGTCGCGTTTGTCACGTTAACCGAAAAGAAAAAATTTTCTATTATAGGATCAGCAAGAATCTAAGATCTTTCTTAAAGCGGGCTAATAATGTATTACTCCTGTTGTTGTGAAAAATATTCACACAAAAGCTTAATTTTGATCACTGTAAAATTCTAAGCCGCAAAAGTGTACCCATTCCGTCCGTCCTTGAACCTTTTGATTGCATTTTCCCAAGACTTTAGACGAAATGATAGGAGTGGATCTTGTGCTTTTAATATTCTGAATCAGGTTAAACAAATCGGGGCTTAAAACAGTGAAGTCGGCGGGAAAAGTGTAACGTCATCGGACAAAAACACTAAAACACCTTATGGAAAATTAGTATGCTTTGATTAATTATCGTCTACAGCGCAGTAGATATCAAGTTGAAATTTTCTGTATAGAATACCTTGTAGCAATGCTCTTAAAAGCTTACCGTTACACTTGCAGGCAATAAAAGGCAACGAATTTCGTGCATTGTTCCGTGTGGGTAGTGAGCCTCCAGTGTTCGCTGTAAGGCGTATAAACAAATTTCTACTTGATTTTTGTTTACTTAAAACTAAAATTATTTGGACTAATTTTAATTAATTCTCTTATTCTGTTTTATTAATTATATTTGCATGTGTTTGTTTAATTAATAATTGCCTCCTTTCATAGAATGTTCAGACAATAATGATATTGCTCTGATAATTCGAATTGGGGCCATGCATGAACATGAAAATTGTGAGCAGGCCTTTACTATCTAAGTAACGTTTCGTTCGTTTTTAATACGTACGTAACATGTACATACTAAGCAGTTTGTGTTACCAAAACAAGTAGATATTAAATTGTTTTTTATTATTATCAGTAGCCACTCAGGGTACGTTATATGGAGATGTTTGAAAAGAGTATTGATAGCGGCGAGAGGTTCTACTTTGCAGCTTGAGAATGCACTCACGTAAATTATAGAATCAAAAAAATTGTATTTCTTGCTATTCTCTCTTTGTCATCGACAATTCCGGCTCAAGGACAAATGTTATTGAAAACAGTTCGGATCGGACCATTTTTCCGCACCTCATTCCGCAATGTCGTTGTATGAATAAATATAGGGTAGCGCGTATTTAACGGTCAGCAGTGTTCTCTTTAGAACTTGTTTAATTCATTTGTCCTATTTTTCAAATGATTTTCTTGAAGAGTTTTTCACTGCTTCAGATTTCAAATTTTTCTTAACCTCTTTGGACTTCCTCATTGGATAATAAGGAAGTTTTTGAAGCCAGCAAACTTTAAAAGAGACTGGCTCTGCTAAATGCGTTAGATGCTCCTTAACGAGGACTTTTCTTTAGGCCGGTAACTCGTCTAGATGAGAAAACTTTCGTTATAACGGGCTTTTTCCTCCAGCCTCTCCCGGTTCTTATGGTACGTATACTGCTCTCTTGTTGTTGATTAATTAACAGCTCGATTAAATTGATCTTGCAATCTTCTTTGAGTATTTTGAACGCTTTGAATGTTTTGGATCTGAACAACTGCTCTTAGTCCATTGTACGACTTCTTGCCACGATTTACATTTATAGTACTAAATTTAAGTGTTGTCCACTTCTACAACTCTATGCCCAAACTTAGTTTTATTCCGTCAGGATTGAGAGGAAAACTTTTCCGTTTCCTAACGATCCTCTTGCTCCTGCTTCCCACCTCTTATCCATCCAAGTAGATATTCAATCGTTAGGCGCGATGTAGGGTGGGCTTACACGAAGAGAAGAAAAACCATAAATTTTTTCTGCTATCAGCAACAAAAACCTGCACATTCTGGTTCTCAGAATACGAAATTTCCAAATCCTACAAAAACTCCCTATATACTTGGGTAGTTCGGTAACATTTTTTTCTCTTCTATTCAATGCATTGCATAATTCATAAGGTGCAACAACTAAAATGTGATCACATTTGTGATTTGATTCAAAATGTTGTACTTGCCTGACATCATGTAGATATCGACAAATGGTTGAGTAATTAAATGTAAAACTTTTTGGTAGCCTTCCTGTATTTACGGTTTAAACAACAAGTTTGCACCACTTTTTTCCTGACTTCTGAGGAGTTCTCAGCTTAATGGTTGTTTTCTGTGCTGTAGTCTTTCAATCAATATTTAAATTTAAGTAGCAAAGGCACAAATCAACAATTTTTCCTAAGGAAATTCCATAAATATATGATAGACCGTTGGAATGGTCATTGATCAAAGACTCACGTAATATTAGTCTCATTTGTTCGCAGCACTTCGTTTGGTCGCAGTGGTTAAGTAAACTTTCACTATTTCAGTGTTTCGTCTTCACTAGGTCGTGGTTTATGTCTTTGCTAGCTAAATTTCAATACAACTTCACACCCTTCAATCTGATATCGCGAAACAAGAATTTGTGGTGACTTACGACTAATGTTTTCATATTCATAAACTACATTAAAACTATGCATTGTTTGTTGCATTTCTAAGGTGAAACCCTCCTCCTTGTTAGTTTGATTGAAGAGCAATCTTCCAAACTAGTACTAAGAACAAAACCAATAAATTAAAATAAAGAAGAAGGAAAGTTTCTTCCGCTCTCGTTGGATTCTAATTTTTTTTAATTTGGAAAAAAATCGCTTTATTTTTGTTGGGATTATACATAAACTAAGATCACGATAAAAAATTTCATAATAATAAAAATTGAAAAAGCTCAAGTTTGTAGCACATTTTCAAACCATGTAAATCATTCGTAAACGTTGTTCGGCTTCAACAAAGCAATATTGGAGTTAAATGTTATCTTTATCTCTTTAGTGATAGTATCATTATAGAAGCACAGGGGTATAGTTCTTTTGCCATGCTGTTTATCATATTCGGACATGTAAAGCTTTGAAAAATTCTAGGTTGTCTGTCCGTCTTACATTTTCTAATTGAAAATGCACTTGTTCCTTTTTCATAGGCAAAATTTCGCCCATAAGCACTTTTGCAAAGAAAAAATAAATTTTATTAAATACGCAGACCGTGCAGATTTCGATGAAACATTTATGCATATATCATACGGTGCATTAAAGTCAATGAGGAATATCGCTATGTTCATGTGAGTGCCTTAAACAGTTAGTAGAAAAAATTGAGTTAAATATTTTAGAAACACGAACGGGAAGAATTCAAAACGCCACAAAAAGAAGTCTTTACACGCTTATCTTAAGTGATGCTTGTCCGCACCACCAAAGGAATAACAGAAAATCAATATGGCATCAGATGGAGCATAGAGGCAGATCATCGCGACATCAACCAGCGAAATTCAGTTAGCATCGGCCGGCTTATTTACCCGCATGGTGTAATGAGTTTGCCGACTTAAAACTTTTTCTAGAACAGTAAAGCTCTCCCTTTCCATTAGTGGCAACTCAATTATAAAAATATGTTTATCGATTTATTTGATTAGAAAACAGTCGTTGACGTTTTTGAAAGTTACCCCGTTTAGAGTTATTTGCGTACCACTAATGTCTACTCTTCCGACACTTCACTTTCACCTTCACCTAAGGATATTGTTCTTCCTCTGATTCTTCTTAGACGAAATAATCTCTATGTAATGCCAGTGCTGCCAAAATTTGTTACATATCAGTTATATGGTAGTGTGCTTACACTTTAATAACATTTCGGATTTTTGATGACTTATTTTTACAATCACCGTTGAAGAAAAAGTATAAAGCGTACTATGATAACCCTTGCTTTTGGTAGCCCAGCTCAATCTCTTATTTGTTAGAGGAGCGCTTTCGATCTCGATAAAAGGAGAGGGCAGCATTATGCGCACATCCCGCCGGTTGTTGACATAAGCCGCCGATTATGGGCAGCTTGATGCTTGGCAGATACGAATCTAAACATTAAGGTATTTACTAGCTACACTTGAAACGCCTGTTCAAACATGATCGGTTTGCACGATATATGTAATGAAATAATAAAGAAGAAATAAATGAATTAAAACAAACAGTGCAGTATCGGGAAGAGTGGTTGTGGCCCGCCTACAAATTTGCTTGACAAAAAATTTGAACTTACGATGCGTATGAGATGAAGTAAAGCTTGGTGGGCGGTATAAAGAATCTGTGTAAACATATCTCTCCTCGAGCGAATGACACAGTCACGTGCACCAGTTTGCACTTCAAAGCAAATATAATGTTTATGCTTGCTTTAATGTCGTAAAACTGTCACACTATTAAAAAGCAACAAAGCAAAATATTAGGTAGGAAAAGATTCGGACTAAGCTGCATATATATATATATATATACAAGAGAGAAAACATTTTTTTTTTTTTTTGGTATTAAAGAAAAAATTTAATATCAGTTTATGTTAACATGTAAAATCACTTACAGTTTATTTATTTTATTTATATTTTACATTAAATATTTACAAACTTGTTTTAATTACAATAAATCGTAACCGAAAACGTGCAACATTAACAAAGTACAACAAAATTTATATATATATATATATACATATATATATTGCTTATGTATAAATATATATGTATGTGTAAAAATTATGTACTAACCGAAATGTTACAATAAATTTTTTTTTTTTTAAATCTTACTAAACATTTTTTGATAAAATTCTCAATTTGTTTTTTCGTTTTTTTTTTTAAATTTTATTTTATTTGTTTATCTTTTTTTTACAAACAGTAAAACTATGACTGGTTTTTGCATTTGTTATTAAATACCTAAATTTAAATACACACGTCTATGCATCTAAGCGTAGATATATGCATATGTGTTGCTGTTTCCGTGTGTGTGTGTGTGTGTGTGTGTGTGTGTGTGTTATTAACCATTAACTTAATTAAAACTTTATATAAAATTTAACCGTTGTATATACGGAACGGTGTAATAATTAAACTCCGTAAACGAATTGATAGAAGGCGCTCGCAATGCCGTTGTCGTATAGTGAATGTTATCTGTTGAGAACAAAAACAAGAAGAAAAAAACATGTCAAACAATCGGTATATTAATCAGATCTTACAAAGAACAATAACTAGCTTATAATGCTTTGCTGTAAGTAAGAAAGGTATGTATGTATAAATGTAATTGCCATAGAAAGTGAAGTTGTCCACTACCTTAGTTTTTTTCTCTTTTTTATATATTGTTAAGTCTACTTCAACGGTCTGATAAGAACTATGTCTATCCCATTCCGATGTTAATTAAAAGTGACAATAGGCTAATACGTCGTAGGTTATGCAAGTGCTTGATTTACCTTTTTATTTCAGTCTTTTACCGAGATAGTCTCCTTTATTTTAAAATTTACTTTCTAGATGTCAATGAAGTGCGTAGTGTTGGAGTTTCACTCCTCCGCACGAAGGGCTTTAATATATACAGGATGGACGAATGGACACTTGTGCCGAAATCAACGAAACTAAAGCTTATCCCGAAACTAATATACTTCATAACGTCTTCAATGTACTCTCAATGGAAGGAAGGGCAGATACGTCGAAACCAATAAGACGGCGGCTAATATTGAATATGATATTCTTCATATGGCCTAAAGCGCATATTAAAAATATTACCTTAAATGAAGGGCAAGCAGATATAAGTAAAATAGGTCGGAACAAAAGTTAAACAAGCACAAGTCTTCCAGGTCTGAGGCTTTCTGAATCATTGTAAACATATCGACAACTTTGGGCTTAGCCTTCGATAACAGATGTAAGAAGTGAATGAAATATATTTGCCTTACGGTGTACACTGAAGATCAATCACCTACGTTCATATCTCATTAGGTGTGGACGTGTCATCGGCCTGATCAGAACTTGTGACGTTAATTTCGGATCGATACAGGTCTGCCACAAGCGGCTTCCATTGAGAGAAATGCATTAAATTATTATAATTTCCTTTGTGACATTTGTAGTCTATTGTTTATAAAGGAAGTGCTTGCAAGACCAATACCAACGAACATAGCATAGAGGCCACACATTTGTGCTGCGTGCTCAAATTTATGGGATTTTCGGAATTTAAGAACCAAAGGACCAGACGGACAGACAGAGAGAATTCGTCGAATCGATTCAAAATCCCAAACTGATCAAATAATTGAGCGTCTCTTTTAAATGAAGAAGTCTTATAACGTTTTGATCATGATCGTGTACAATGTACTTTTCAATCTGTAACTCCAAGTACGTATGCGCAGAGTTGAATATGAATACAAAACCAGTAAGTACAGCGTCTCTCTTTGGATAAAATTTGAAAGCATTTCCCCCAAATTGTTTTCTTTCTCTCTCTCTCTCTCTCTCTCTCTCTCTCTCTCTCTCTCTCTCTCTCTCTCT